CCGTGAGGAGGGCGGTCGTTGCCCCCGCCGCGAGTTCGCGTGGCTGCGGCAGTCGGGAACTGCACAAAGACGCGCGCCGCTCGCAGGGCATCCGCGCGGTGGCCACGCAGGCTGCGCGAGGTACGAGCCCAAGGCAGTCGGACGGCGTGGCTGAAGGCCGCTCAGGCTTGGCACAGCTGCCAGGGGCGCAAGCGGCTGGCGACGCTGCGTTCGACGATTCGCAGAGAAGGGTACGATTGCCACCATCAGCTGTTCAGAAGAGAAGCAAATGCGTGAATACCTGAATGCGTGCACCCACACCGTCGTTGTTATTCAGGAGCACCATCTCCCAGGGAAGCCACGATTGGGTGGCCGGCGGAGATTTCAGCACGGAGGCGGGGGAGTTTGGGGACTTGTCCTGGGCGCGCGGGGGTCGGCACTTACCCCCCCCCCCCCTTCCCGTGCGCATGAGCATTTATGGCAAGGACTTGCCTGTTTGGACGCGCGAGCTGAGAAAGCCCAAGGCCGCCCCGCGTCAGCCGCCGCCAGGACGCCCGCGGTCCCCGATCAACTGGAAGGGAGTCTCTAGGCTGATCAGCGAGGTTGGTGATGATGCCTCGCTTCAGATTGCGTGGGATGCGGTGCTGTCTAACATTGAGCTGGAGATGCTCAATCGATACGATCTGGTAGGACCAGCAGCCCAGCCCAATCTCGGCCGAGCGGGCAAGGTAGATCGTGCCCGTACTGAATGCCAACGGTTAATGGAAGCCAGCTCGTAGCCGCGCGCGCCCTAGCCCACAGGAGCAGGCCTGGACGGTCGCTGCACGGTGGGCCAGGCACCTTCGTCGGAATCGAGAAGCACTGGCGCGTGATGGCACTAGCTTGGCCGATGCGGAAGCCAAGGGAGAAGACGCCAGACAGCAGCATCGCAAGATAGCCCCCTTGCTGACAGAACTTGTTCGATTATTGGGGTGCGCTGCCTCTGCCCAAGAGACGCATATTGATGCGTGTGCCCGCCAGTTGTCACGGGGCTGGGATGGAGGTGTTCACTCGGCCCGGTTTCGAGGATGAGGTTTCTAGGATCATGTCTGAAGCCAGCTGACTTTCGGAGCAGCAGGCGGCCAAGTCAACAGAAGCTTGGAAGCAATCGGCCCCTGCGTCGTTTAATCGTTTGCAGGAGGCGGAAGATTCGCCCACAGGTACTGCACGGGGCGAGCTCTGCAGGAAGTGTGCGAAGCTAACCACCTGCCTCAGACCCCCGCCCAACCTCACCTCCTCGCGGACCGATCGACGAGAGAATGGGTTGGGATTTGGGACCGCCATGGCGTGGATGCTCCCACCCTGCCTACCGATGCAGGTGCGTGGGGCGATTTTTCGGTCAGCGACGTTCGAGATGCGCTGATCCAGTTTCCATGGGCCACTGGGGTTGGGCAATTCGACTTCACCCCACGCAGCTCGATATTTATCAGCGACCGTGGGCTTCGATCCCTCGCGGATTTTCCATGCGGTGAGAGGCCTTGTTCATTTGGCCATCTCAACGACTGCTCACGCAGCTAGCCCGCCTCCCGACAACGACGGGGGGATGCAGCTGATAGCGTTGGTGCAGACGTTTGTTCGAGCCTGGGGAAGAATCCGCCGCCCGCTCGCCGCTGCCTGGGAAGCCAGGAACCCTACATTGGAAGAGCATGGAAATCAGGAACGGGCCGACCTTCCTCAGATAGCGTTTTTTCGCTTAACTTGGATGCAGGAATCGCCCTCGACTTAGACGGGGACAGCCACTGTCTTCGTAGATCCGGTTAATTGTTTCGAAATAGTCCTTTTAGAGCGGTTGTTAGAAGAGGCTAGGGCGGTTCAGTTTCCGCTACGTCTCGCTTGGATGGCGATTCAATATTACTTCCAACCCCACTCCCTCCGCGCCGTCTCAAGCCTCTCTTTCCCTTTCTCCCCCAACCACGGAATTCTAGCAGGGTGCTCGCTAGCCGCATCGCTGCTGCAGGTGCTGTTGTACCGTAGCTTAATGCGAGCCCAGCTGATTCGTCCAAGCGTGAAGCCCCGCGATCTGATAGATGACGTCAGCTTTCAGCGGCCGGGACACCGACCTGGCAAAAGGAGAGGTTGGTAAGGATGGCTCCCAGGAGCCATCCTTGGTGGTGCGCAATTTTAGAGATGACGTTAGGCCGCCAGGGCTCATCATCCAGCCAAGCAAATCAGGTTGCGTGGCCAACTGTGCGCGCTGTTGCAAGCGATCCACTCGACATGTTCGTACTTTCGGGATCGCGAAGAGAACTGCGATGCGAAGTCTGGGCCATGAGATGTTTGCTCGAGGGTTAGACGTGATCAGAAAAAAAAGTCGCACGCGCAAGTTGCAGGCCAAGCGTGGGAAGGTTTCGGGTCACAAGCAAGCGGCTGGAGAGGTGCTAAGACCCTTTGGAGGACGGGGCTCCTTCCAGCAGCTGGGCATGGGGCTGGGGCGTCTGGGATTTCGGACGCGTCTCTTCGCGAGCTTCGGACGTTTGCGGGAGGTCTTGCGGGAGCCAAGCCCAAGACATGCATGACTTTGTACCTAGCCACTCAGGTAGACGATACAGTTGACCCGATGTTTGATGCTACGGTTCCGCTGATAGGGCGTTACTCTGCAGCGTTGTGGGAAGGCAGAGTCGATCTGGCACTCCTTCACCGAGCATGGGCTCGGATCGCGTCACTTGGGCTGGAGCTCGAGGCCCCATCCACTCTGTCTGGCTTGCTCTGTTGAGAGTCGGATGGTTCATGGTGTCACCCGCTGTTTTGAAAACGGGCCAAGGGACCCTGATCGACCTGTTGCGGTTTTGCCCGTGGGATGTGCGTCGCTTCCTCGAGGAAGGCATCCGTCGGTTTCAGTCGAGTCGCATTCTCATGCACGTGCCTGGAGGGAGTCAGGAGCCCTGCTGGCGCCGCGCGTTGCGAGTAGCTCTGTTCAAGCTTAAGGATGCCAGCAGGCAAGGCGCATTGCGAGCACTGTGGGCTGCAGGTGCGTGGGCGCCAGTGCGTTTACATTCGATTGACCTGCGGCCCACGCCAGACTGCTTCATTTGCAAAAAAGTGTCCAGGTACGGAGGCACCAATGGTCCGGATGCCCCGAGGCTCTGATCGTTCCTGATGAAGAGAGGCCTCCCGGCGAAATCCTGGAGCATCGTGATGCCATGATCGCCAATCACGGTTCTGGGCCCCAGGGCCTGGAAACTTTCTTGCGTCTTAGCTATGGGCCGCCGCCCGAGCCGCCACTGCCCGAAGCTCCCTGCGCTGAGTATCTTGTCCTTGAGTCTGGGGGCGGAGGGTGTGCACTGACGGGTCTGGCTTCGCATCGTCGACGCCAGGACTCACACGTTGTGGATGGTCTGTCGTTGAGCTCGACGAGTCAGGTATAATTCTTAGAGCTGCGTTTGGAGCACTCCCAGGTCTCATCCAGACCGTGCCGCGAGCAGAGTATCGCGCGGCGCGCGCGGCTGCGCAGGTTGCAGGCAGCGATGTCGACATTATCTCTGATCACCGACTGCTCGTCAAGGCTGGCCAGGCGTGGGGGGCCACAATGAAAAGGCCCAATCTCGTCATGCGTCAGTCTGGAGAGTGATGCACAGCAGCTGCCAGCGCAAGGTCCCGAGGTTTGCTTGGGCCCCAGCGCACAGATCCGCAGACTAGGTGCTGGGCGACCCTAAGGCGTCTTTTCTAGATTATATAGGCATCAAATGGGCAGACAATGTTGCGAAGAAAGGAGCACGCACACGGATGGTTGCCCATACGCTCGAGAGGATTCATAAGATGAGTCTTGCAGAATTCGTCATGGACGCTCGAGTTTTGTCGTGGATGACCAGGACGGTGGCCAGGAGGGCCGATGAGCTCCAGCCGCGGGTTTACTTCCCCGAGCCTCGCAGAGCTCCCCCTCCCATGGCCCCAGCTGTCTTGGAAAATCACGACTTCAGCATGCGCGACCGACTGTTGGAGTTCCGTTGTCGATCGTGTAACCATTGGGCTCGCACTGCCGCGTCCCTCCGCGCTCTCAGGCGGCAGCCTTGTCATCCGTCTGACTTGTCCCGTGCAGCCGCCGCCGGGTTTTTTAGGCTCACGTCCGCGGACTGCCGCCACCCGACAGGTGCGGTGGCAGCAGCATTCCGTGCTGCCCGAAACCTCGAGCCAACTGATGCAGCAGGCCTCGAGGACGGGCTTCTGGACGGGGACGGCGGGGGGGTCGCCGCCGTCGCGGTCGAGGGGGGCGGCGGGAGGGACGCGATCGACCAGGCTCTTTCGGAGTTGGGCCATCAAGTTGAGAGGTTCGGTGATCATGTGATATGCCTCTCATGTGGGGCCTACTCTGTTGCTCAGGGCCGTAACCGTAAGCTCGAAGCTCGGTGCGTCGGCCTTTCTCCTGTCGCGTCGGCTCGCTCGAATCAGGTGCAAGCCATCTCCACATTGATGAGAGGGCTGCATCCGCGCACAGGTAAGCTATTTCCTGTGTGATTTCCCGCTCGCTCTAGTGCCTCCGCCCTCGTCGTTCGATGAGCTCGGTTGGGGGTGTTAGAGCGTGCAAGAGCGGTGCTCGGCAGCCTTCCTTGTCGGTTGCTTCACCGTTTCATTATTCCGCTGGGGCGTGCTCGATCTGATCGGCCGCGCCTTCCATCGCTCGGGACCTCCTCCTCCTCCTCCTCCTCCTCCTCCTCCTCCTCCTCCTCCTCCTCCTCCTCCTCCTCCTCCCCCTTCTCCTCCTACTCCTACTCCTACCCCTACCCCTACCCTCCTCCTCCTCGTCCTCCTCCTCCTCCTCCTCCTCCTCCTCCTCCTCCTCCTCCCCCTCCTCCTGCTCCTCCTCTTCTCATCATCCCCCTCGTCCTCCTCCGCCTCCGCCTCCGCCTTCTCCCCCTCCCTCTCCTCCTCCTCCGCCTCCTCCTCCCTGCCCCCCCCCCTCCCCCCCCCCCCGCCCTCATCCCCCCGCCCCCTCTTCTCGAGCCTGTACGCGTGCATGTCCCCCCCTGCCTCCGAGAACGAAGGAGCAGGGCTCCGAGCTCGGCGGCGGCTTCTGGGGCGGGGAGTCCGCCGCGGACCTGGCGGCCACCGACGCCGCGATGCTGAGTTTCGCCGCGGACAGGGGGCTGACCATGGAGGTCTGGGAGCCCCCAAACTGACTAGGGGGAGGGAGGAGGAGGAGGAGGAGGAGGAGAAGGAGGAGGGGCGTCCGCGTGGCCGCGGCTGGATCCGCATACGACTTCGGGCTCTGAGGATTGAAGGTTGCTTGGTTCGGTTTTCTGGTCTGCCCTGGTGGAATTTCTGGGGTCGCCGGTCTGGTTTCTTGGTCCGCCCGTCTGGCTTCGTGGCCCGCCAGGCATTTCCCGGCTCGCCTTCCCCCCCCCCGCCCCCCGGGGGAGTGCGACCCGGCGGCCCGTTCCAGCTTCCCCCCCCCGCGCCCCGACCCCACCCGCCCCACCCCCGCGGCCCGAGCACCCCGTTCGCCCCGCGAGAAAGCCCGAGCCCCAGCTCGCCAAGCGCGATCCCCCCCCCCCCCTCCTCGGGGGGCGAGTGAGGGTGACCGCGCAGGGGAGGCGGCACGACGGGCAGCGGGCAGCCGCGCAGGAGGGGGGATCGCGCGAGAGCGCACGACGGGCAGCCGCGCAGGAAGGAAGGGAGGAGCGTCGGCGGGAACGGGTGCACGATCGCCTCCGGGGCCTGATCGCCCCTCCCCCCCCCAGTCGTGGCTCCTCCACCCCTGCTCCTGCTCCTCCTTCCTTTCTTCCTTCCTTCCTTCCTTCCTTCCTTCCTTCCTTCCTTCCTTTCTCATTCCTCCTTCCTCCTGCCCCTCTTTCCTCATTCCTCCTTCCTCCTTCATTCTGCCTCCTGCCTCCTCCTCCTCCTCATCATCATCATAATCATCATCATCAGCAGCAGCATCATCATCATAATCATCATCATCATCATCATCATCATCATCATCATCATCATCATCATCAGCAGCAGCAGCAGCAGCAGCATCAGCATCTGCAACATCCTCCTTATCGTTATCATAGTCATCAACATCAGCAGGATACCAGCATAATCAGCAGCAACAGCAGCATCAACAGCATCATAATCATCATCATCGTTAACATCATCAGTATCACCATTATCATCATCATCAGCATCATCATCCATATCATCATCATCATCATCATCATCATCAGCAGCAGCATCATCAGTATCATAATCATCAACATCACCATCAGCACCATCATCAACGTCATCGTCCTCGTCGTCATCGTCATCGTCGTCATCATCATCAGCATCAGCATCATCAGCAGCAGCATCGCCATCATCAGTATCATCATCAGCAGCAGCATCATCATCGTCAGCATCACCATCCTCATCAGCATCATCAGCATCAACATCAACACCGTCTCATCATCAGCAGCATCATCTGCAGCATCATCAGCAGCAGCATCCGCGTCAGCATCAGCATCATCATCAGCAGCAGCACCATCAGCAGCATCATCATCGTCCCTCCTCCTCCTCCTCCTCCTCCTCCTCCTCCTCCTCCTTCTCCTCCTCCTCCTCACCGTGCCAAAGACCCCCGTTCCTCCCTGGCCCGCAAGCTGGTGGAGGACGCACGGGGCAGCCTACAAGGGCCCGTGCAGGCACCCGACGATCACCTCTGCCCGGCGAGCCAGGGAGTGGGGGTTGGGGCGGCAGAGGCTTACTAGGGGCTTCATTCCCCCGCCTGCACAGCCTAGTCTGTAGGGGGCTACGGGGCGGGGGGCTACGGACAAGAGTTCAAATGTAGCCTTGGGCTGGTCGCTTCAACGGGATCGACCATTACCCTTTCCGGCAAGGCGTTGAATAAATCGCAGTTCGGGGTGTTGACCTTTCATACGTTGCTTTGGCAGCGCGTTTCGACAGGAGCGCTACGCTAGACTTTCCCCCACGAAAGGAGGGAGAAGTTCTTGGGGCACGGAGGCAGAGAGCTACGGACTCCAAGAGTTCAAGTGGTAGCCCTCAGTCGGCCGATTCAGGTGGATCGGCCATGACCCCTCCCAGTAAGATATGCGATCCGAGCTCCGGGGTGTTGACCCCTCAAACGTTGCTTCACGCACAATGTTTGCCGACCAGTGGTGCCCAGCTTTTGCCCAATGAAGTTGTGGGCAGGGTGAGGGGAGGCAGGACTTGTCCTCCCTGGTACGCCCACTGCGTTGCATAACCCAATTTGGGGGGGCGCAGAGGCAGAGAGCTACGGACTCCCAGAGTTCAAATGTAGCCCTCAGCCCGTCGATTCAATTTAATCGACCATTATTTTGCCAAGAAAAAATGTAATGTTTCACATTGCAAAGTACTAACCCCTCATACTTAGCACTCAGAACGCGTTTCAACAGGAGCGCTACGCTAGACCTCCCCCCACGGCACGAGGGAGATGTTCTTGGGGCGCAGAGGAAGAGAGCTACGGATGCGAAGAGCTCAAATGGTAGCCCTCAACCAGACGATTCAGGCGGATTGGCCATGACCCCTCCCAGTAAGACATTACATCCGCGTTCTGGGGGTTGACCCATCATACGTTGCAGCACGCATCATATTTGCCGACCAGTGTTCCCCTGCGGGTTCTCACTCTCCTCCTCCTCCTCCTCCTCCTCCTCCTCCTCCTCCTCCTAATCATCATCATCATCATCATCATCATCATCATCATCATCATCATCATCATCATCATCATCATCATCATCATCATCATCATCATCATATCATCATCACCACCATCATCATCATCATCATCATCATCATCATCCTCATCCTCATTCTCCACCTTCGTCCCCTCATGTCTCATTATGGATTGGCATGTACTCCAGCTCGGCCACCTAGGCGGCCGATGGCAACCCAATCCAGGTGGTCCTGTCCGACCCTACAGGAACCTCTCAAACCAAAAAAACTTGTTTCAACATGGACACCGCGTGCCCCATGTTGCAAAACGCGCGGAAGCGCTGGGACGGAAGGCACATCCCGTGCGGTTAGGCCGAAACGTCGTTCTCGCATGGGCTGTGCCGCGCTGCCTGTTCCACAGATTTGAGCTCTCAGCCGGGCGCGGCGCACACCCTTCGCACGCAGTGCCGTCGACGCGCGAGCGGACGGAAGTGTCGTTCTCGCCGCCTCGCCGCGTAGATTTCGTCGACGCGGCGCACGTTTGTCACTCACCAAGTCAGGGGGGGGGGCCGCCCGAGTGGGCGACTTGTCGCCTTCGCCCAAGTTCCGTGCAAAAATTGTTCGCTTGGAGGTGGCGTTCCAGCGAGGGCGCGGCGCACGCCTCTCGTTCGCCGGAGCGCACGGGGGTGACAGCGGGGCAGCGGGGCCGCGCGACAGCGGGCGAAACTGCCGACCTCGCCTAGGCGCCGCGCAGTGTTTTGAGTGAACGTGACAGAGTGCTGTGTCAGCGCGGCGCATGCTTCGTTTTCGCCCCATTGGAAATTTTGCCGCTCCCGCCCTTGCGCGGCCCGCGTAGTTTACCCTTCGCCAGGTCGTCGGAAGCGGGACCGCGCGCGATCGCCTTCCGTTTGCAAGGTAGGGACACGTTCCAATCCCAAGATCAAGGTGTGTCAAAATTGATTACTATGGTGTGGGGGGAGGGAGGGTGGGAGCAGGCGGGGTCCTCTGACTCGCTGGGCCTGGATACTTTGACTCTTCCTTCTCCTCCTCCTCCTCCTCCTCCTCCTCCTCCTCCTCCTCCTCCTCCTCCTCCTCCTCCTCCTCCTCCTCCTCCTCCTCCTCCTCCTCCCCCCCCTACTCCTGCTCCTCCTCCCCCTACTCCTGCTCATCCTCCTCCTCCTCGTGATCGTCTTGATCGCTCCTTTTCATCATCATCATCATCATCATCATCATCATCATCAGCAGCAGCAGCATCATCATCACCAGCAGCATCAGCATTAGCATCAGCATCATCACCAACATCAGCATCATCAGCATCAGCATCAGCATCACCGTGATCAGCACCATCATCATCAGCATCATCAGCATCACCATCATCATCATCGTCATAATCGTCATCCTCACCATCAGCATCATAATCCACATCATAATCTTCATCCACAACATCAGAAGCAGCATCATCAGCACCAGCATCGTCATTATCGTAAGCATCATACTCATCAGCATCAGCATCAGCATAATCAGCACCAGCATCATCATCACCAGCATCACCATCAGCAGCATCAACATCATCACCATCGTCATCGTCATCGTCATCATCATCACACCTCGTCAGTGTCATCCTCATCATCATCTGAACCATCCTCCTCCTCCTCCTCCTCCTCCTTGTCCTGTCTCCTCGTCCAATGTTCCATCGACCATCGAGGTGGGTAACTGCAGCACGCTGCCCACCACCTCCAACGCCTACTCGCGCGTGGAGTTCCGCGGCTGGGACAGGCCGCCGTCCTTCACGGTCGCGGCCAGGACCACGGCGGAGGCCGACGCCCACGTCCTCGTCGGTAGCATCAATTCGTTCCTTTATGTCCCTCCTCCTCCTTCTCCTCATCCTCCTCCTCCTCCTTCTCCTCCTCCTCCTCCTCCTGTTCCTCCTCCTGCTCCTTCTCCTCATCCTCCTCGTCATTATCCTCCTCCTCCTCCTTCTCCTCCTCGTCCTCCTGTTCCTCCTCCTGCTCCTCCTCCTCTCCTCCTCGTCATTATCCTCCTCCTCCTCCTCCTCCCTCCTCTCCTCCTCCTCCTCCTCCTCCTCCTCCTCCTCCTGCCGCCCCCTCCTACCTCATCCTCCTGGTTCTCATCACCCATCTCTCCCATTTTGGCTAAAGCCGACGGGCTGGTTCGAAGGCACCCGACAGCTCTCCCGCGGCCATCCCTGACGGCCAGCTGCCATCGGCCCTGGGTCGTCTGCCCCACAGCACGCGGGCGGTTCCGATTTCGCCCACGATGGGCCCGCAGCGCAGCTCGAGGCGAAGGGCAAGGGGGAGGGAGTCCTCCTGCAGCCACCTACCTCTCGTCGGCTTTCGGCCCTGACCCCGAAGCGACCTGGCGGCGCGCGGGAGCGACGGCGGCTGCCGGAGGCCTCTGGCCCGGCCTCGCGGCGGCCAGCGCGGAGGCGGGTGTGTTCGCACGGGGAGCCGCCGCGCAAGGCTGCCTTGGACTCGCTCTCATCCTCCACCCGTGCCTTCGCCAGGCGGGTCTGCACTGGCAACCCTGCGCGGGGTCTGGCGTCCCGCGCATGGAGGGTGCCTTCCAGAGCTGCGAGGCGGCGTCCTCGTTGACAGCGAGGGCGAGCTCGGCGCCGCGATGGAAGGATGGATAGGAGGCCCATGGCGGCCGCGGTGAGGCTTCAGGCAGTCGTGCAGGCCCAGGCGCGCAAGGTGTCAGCGCTGTGCGTTCACGTGGTGGCCATAGCCGCGAGCAGCACGGCGTGGCGGCCAGTAACGACACAGCAGGAGATATGAATTGAGGCAGGCAGGCGCTCAATACCACCCCGCCCGCCGAGGCGATGAAGCATGTGGAGGAGATTGGGGAACCGCCCACTAATCAGACCATGGGCTTCCTCAAGCAGACGGAAGCCGATCGGCAGCAGAAAGCCGAGCAGGGGCGCGTCGCAATGCGGACGTCTCTTGACAAACGTGATGAGGCAATCAACACCCTGACGACCAGGATGGAGGAGCACGAGCGCGCGGGTCATGAGCGTCTCTCTCTCTCTCTCTCTCTATCTCTCCCGTTCTCTCTCTCCCTCTCTCTGTACGCTGCCGAGTTGACGTCTGTCTTCAACAGGCTCGAAGCGCGGCCGACGGCCGAGTTCGAGCAGAGTTTGCAGGCCATGCGCACGGCCTCCTCGGCGGGCCCGCCGTCGACGAAGGCGCCCACCACGAGCGGCCCGAGCCGCGCGGGCTCGAGGGCAGGGAGTGGTGCCTGACAGCGACCCCGCTGAGGTCTGAATCGACTGCTTCCCGATTCGGACGCTGGCCAGCGCGGCGGAGACCCGCGCGCGGCCCGCCAGCCGGTCCACGAGCCAGGGCGCGGCGCAGCATGCCGAGACCAGGTGCAACAATTTGAATCGCAGCTGCTCTATCGAGCGCGGGCCCGTGCCGAGAGGCCCTTGTCGACGGGCTGCCGAACGAGGGCGGCCGCGCCGCTCGCTCCTGCATCGACGCGCCCGTTGCGCGCGCAAGCGGAGCCGATGCCTCGGGTTCCTGCGACAGGCCGCGCTGGAACACAGGACGTCCACAACGCCGCCACCATCAGGCGGGGCATCGGTCCGCACGCAGGCGTTTCGCCCAGGGCCTGGAAGGTCGGGGCCCGCGCCCTGTTCACCCTCGCGGAAGGGCCGAGCGAGCAGACAGACGTTCGCCCTGGCTTGGGGCCCCTGACCAGTGTCCGAGTAACGCACAGTGGGGCGCGCATCAAGAAACCATATGCTTTTCGCCCGGGTATCCTAGGTTTCTTCGCCCCTCGCGCTGCGCGGAGACATCCCGCAGCCGCTGAAGGAGCTGCTGCGTTCAGGGTGCCCCGGGCCCCCCCTCAGGTGCACCTCGCACACGGGCTTTCAGGGCCGGGTTTCTCGCGAGGGTTTCTCGCGGCCGCGCCCGCGCTGCAAGGCCGGCGCCAACGACGCGATTCGCATCGCCGCGCGGTAGAAGGTCCCCGCGCAGGACAGCGCGCTGACACGCATCGATAGCGAAGAGCCTGAGCAAGTCCCTCTTTCGTCGCGCGGACATGCCAGGTCGGGGAAATTGGACAGGTCTAGCGCGTCTCACGTCGGTGATCTCGGGGCGAGCTGGCTCGGGGGATCTCGCCTGCTGGCTTTGCGCGACGGCGCGCTCGTGATGACGAGGACGCCAGGTGCGAAAGCTGTGCTGTTTCGACCGGCTTGTCCGCCCACTGCCCGAGGGCCCCGCCCCCCCCCCCCTTTGCCGGCGCTGCTCTCGCGAGCGGGGGCCCCGCCGAAGCGCCGGCTGCGGCGCGCGGGGCCCCGCGACGGCGGGCGAGGAACTGGGCGGGGCGTCCAAGTCGCGGCTTCGCGGAGGGCTTCGGGCCCGCCGCCCCCGCCCCGATGTCGGCGGGAAGTCCAGCGACAGAAGTTCGGCATGAGGCCCACGCCATTCCGCCGACCCCCAGAAGAGGCGGGGGGTCCACGGTTGAGGCGTCGCGGGTTTCGCTGGCATTGTCTGGGGGCTCGCGCGGGCGTCTCGGGGGCTGTCTGGGGGCCCGGTGGAGCCTCTTGGAAGCCGCTTTGAAGCGCATTGGGGCCCGTTTGGGGGGATCCCTTTCCGCCTCTCAGGGGCCTCTCGGGGCTCATGATGGGCCACTTTCGGCCCGCTCGGGGGCCCGTCTTCTGACGATGGTGGGAACGCCAGCGACAGAAGTTACCCTTCTCCTTCCTTCAGTTCGTCCGCTGGCAGCTCGAGCCGCCATTCGGCCTCGGCTCTGCCGAGTTCTTGGTTCAAGGAGCTCGTCGGCAGCCCCTTGGAATACGGGGGGCCAGGGAGGATTCAGCGAAGTACGGGGATGAAAAGGTCACCATGTCTCCAGACGCGCCTCCGGACGAACGGATCCCCTAATAATTTTGGTTTGCTCTCATGCGCTCCTCGGTGGAATGGGGCCACGATAGGAAATGCGCGCGGGTTGACAGTCCAAGCAAATCTTTGCACGCAGGTGGATGGGGAGTCATCAGCACTGGAGCGGACGGCACGGATCTCATCACATATATTGGGGAGGGTCGGGGAGATGTTCTTCGCCGCGAGGAGCTCGAAGAAATGGCGAACACGCACGAGGAGAAGTCGAAGAGAAGCCCCACGCCGAAGAATGGCAAGGGCAAAGGCAGGGGCAGGAGCAATGCGGGACGGGCCGAGTGCCCGGAATAGGAACAACGCCGACCGAGTCAAGTATCACCCCATCCACGGGATGGGAAATTGCATGCGCCATGCAAGAATGCGCGGCTCAATGGCCCACAGAGACTTGCAGAGCTGATCGTTGAATCAACGGCTTCAAAGTGGGACATTATTATGTTCAGCGAAACTCGCGCGGAAAGCCTAACAGTGGAATTGGGGGGTGGGCGCCGCCTATATACGCACCGTGAAGATTTCTCAGCGCCAGGCGTGGGCGCATTGATACATGCACGGTTGGTTGGCAGCATTTGGTTCGTTGCATTTTGTTGCCGATCGAGTGCTCCGCGTTGATCTGCAGCTCGCTCAACGGAGGGTTTCATTTTGCGTTGTTTATTTACCTCGCGCGGGATATCCGGCTGAAGCACAGGGCCAGGCATACGAGCAAGCGCACCAGACGCAGACAAACGCAGTTAGAGACGGAAATGCAGTCGCGGTGGGGGGCGATTTCAATTCACAATGGGGACGTGGAATGCGCGGCCAGAAGATGGCTGAGATGGCGGCCGCTTCCAACTTGAAGGTCGTCAATGGCGATGGGAATGGACGCGATGAGCACAGTTGGACCTTTAGGAGTTGTTTGGGGCAGGTGCGGAGAATTGACTTCATTCTTACATATTCGCACCTGCACGTGTCGACTTGGAATGCGTCAGGGCATGTGGACTTGGGGTCGGATCACCGCGCTGCGCACGCGGACCTCGTCGCTGGGAGGATCTCGCGCCGGCGAGCCAAGGGGGCAAGATCATCGATGCGAGAGTGGACTTCTTTCGAAGACGACGCTGTTTTCCAGAAGGCCTTCGACGAGAAACTCGCAAAGCATGCGCCGCCATCGTTATTCGAAGCAGAAGCGGTACTTTCCGACACAGCTGTAGCTCATGGAGAAGGTTCAACGACCGGCCGCGGGACTCACCTCACTTTCAGGACCTTCTTCAACAAAGGCTTCATACACGCGACCTCCAGCAGCGCAGAGAGTTTTCTAAACAGATCCGGAAGCGCATCCGCAGGGAGCTCAGAAAACAGAAAAGTCAACGATTCCAACTTTATCCTCGACGAGTTCATCGAGCTCGACCGGATCAGCGACGCAAGAAGACCACCGGCATGTCTCTCTGAAGATGGATCTGGCGCGCAAGCAGGGCCAGATGATTTTGCCACCTATCTGGAGGGAATCTTCAGGACCGGATGGACGCACTCATCTGGATCAGTTTCTGCAAATCTACAATCTATACTGGACGGCTGTCTGTTCTACGAGAATACGCCCTCTTACTATGTGGGAGCTTCGGCGCGCACTAAACCGATGAAACTTCGGAGGGGTTCAGATGAGTTTGGGATCGTCGCGGAAATGTTCAAAGCATATTCAGATAAGTTCCTGGGCCTTCTACTTGACCTGTTCAATAAGATGTTGCAGGAGGGCGTATTTGACCCGACCTGGAGAGACAGTATTTTCGATGGTACCGAAGACTGGCGACCTGAGACTTCCGCAGAACTGGAGGCCCGTCGCAATGCTAAGAATGTCGCACAAACTCTTCGCACGTCTGTTGTACCACCGCCTTCGTGGAGCGCCGGACGCACGACAATCAGACGACCAAGTTGGTTTCCGAAGTAAAAGATCGGTGGGCGACGCCTTCATTGCATTCGAGACTGTCTGTGGCAAGTGCTGGGAATGGAATGTGCTTATGTGGCGTTTAAGTTTGGACTTGACAAAGGCCTTCGATCGAATCGAATTCCAACCGCTGCTCGGTTTGCTCCGGAGCCTGGGCGCGGGAGACGAGCGCATCGCCATGTCGTCCGTCATCTATGCAAACCAATGCGGGCGAGTTCGCGGTTCTCGTCGTTTTGAGACACAGCGAGGCGCCAAGCCAGGCGATTTCCCGAGCCCGCTGCTTTTCAACGCGGGGGTCGAAGCAGCACTTCGCAAATGGAAGACCAGGATAATCGAGAAAGGAGTTCGAGTTGATGAAGGGGACGCCTTAACAAACATCAGATACGCGGACGACATGATTTTCGCGGCATCGCGCGCGGATCCCATCATAATAGCCACGGCGCTCAAAGAGGAACTTACGAAAGTCGGTCTCAACCTGAACGCCTGGAAGACCAAGGTACTTACGACAGCACGCGACATCAATCCGGGTTCGCTGGACATCGGGGGCGAGCCCGCGGACGTCCTAAACGGCGACATGGCCCACATTTTTTTGGGAAGGAAGCTGCGCGGCAACCTCGGTTCGAGGAGTCTTCTTGAGTTTGGCCACCGGATTCAAATAGCACGGATGAAATTTCATCAGCACCGCGACTTCCTAATGGACAAGCAGTTGAGCATATACTCCCGGAACAAGTTCTTCGACACAGTAATCGTTCCATCGATATTGTTCGGCCTCTCGTCTTGTGCAATGACGCGGACACAAGTGAGCTCATTAGGTGTGATTCAGCGGAGGATGCTTCGAAAAAATGTTGGGTGGGTTCGTATGGAAGGTGAGCCGTGGGACGAAACAACGCGGAGGATGAGGCTGAAAGTGAATGCTGCTCTAACAACTTACTTTATGGAAGACTGGAGCGTCCAGCTGCTACGACGGCAATACAGGCTGGATCATCGCCGTGGCACGATGTCGGACAGATGGCCTGCAAGAGTATCGCGTTGGCACCCACTTGCAACGTGTCTTGAGGCTCGACGATCACGCGGACGACCCGCTGTGAGATGGGACGACTATCTGCGCAAGTTTGCAAGGGAGTATTACGAAAGCGAGTGGCATGAAGTGAGTGCGGACACTTCTTCTCACGAGCACGAAGAGGATTTTGCATGTTTTCCCTCGAGATCCAGGAATGCGGCTCGAGGTTCAACACAGTCGCGCCCGATTCTGGGCCGAGCATTGACTCGATCGGACTGCCTGCCTGCCTTGGAATACGCAAGGTTGTGTCCGGCCCCCAGGCACGCCACTGGAAACAGCGCGAGCCAAACAGAAGCTGCCTTTAAAATATGTCGCGCGACAAGGAGTTGCAGCGTTGCACTGGACGCACGAGAATCAAGACATCAGAGTGTTCAGGAGCCACGTCCAAGGTGCATAGTATACAAGGAGATTCCCGCCTGCGCGAAGGACCCGACGATTGCACGATCTCCGCCCACACCGGTCTCTCACACAAGCTTTCGCACGTTCGACGCTGGGAGATGTTCGTTGGGCGCACGCGCGCATTGCGTTCCCTCCCTGGGCCGTTCGACGCCTCCGCCTGCTCCTCCTCATCCACCTCCTCCTCCTCCACCTCCTCCTCCTCCTCCTCCGCCTCCTCCTCCTCCTTCTCCTCCTCCTCTTGGGCATTACCGTTGATGGAGTGGACCCCGGCATCCAGATACGGCAGCAGCTTCTACGAGAATGGGTTCGACCTTGACAGGACAACGGACACCCGCACAGGCGCACAAGCCACACCTGGACGCAGCTCAAGGTGAAGCTGCTCAGGGCAGGCCCGAGGATCTGGTCACACGCCACTGGACCTACAGGGGCCGCCATCGCCATGCTGCTCGAGGCTGGCAGGGATCCCACGGAGACAAACTGCTGGCAGAGGATGGTTGGCGAGCGCTTGGAGGAATGGAGGCTCCCACATGATGCAGCTGCGCTGGCCGACCACGACTACGACCCCCTCCTGGACGACTTCGGCGACGACCTCAGCGGCCGCTGCTCACGAGGACGGCGCGTCTCCCGCTGCTGGCGCGGACCTCGTCTCGGTCAGCCGACGCGAACAGCGGCGCATTCTTGCTCAAGGAGGAATATCGTCGTGGATGTTGAAGATTTGCGTTGTCTCAGGCAGTCAATGGACCCGACAGTGTTTGCAGTTTCGGGTATCAAGTTGACAGCAGGCGCGATCGTCGCAAGCCCGGGCACGTTGACATCGCATTGGGAAATGGTCTGCCAATGAGGGCTCTGAGCTTGAGGAGGTTGCCCACTTAGTGCCCCAGGCTCTTGCGAGACTCGAAGCCTCGGGACGGGGGCGGGAGGGGGGGGCGGAGAGGGGTGCTGATGACTTCGGATGGTCCTCATGGGAAGCCTGCAGGGGCCCCACCGACGGGCGCCTCGTCTTGTTTGGGGACGGCTTTGGAGGAGCCTTCTCGGATGACCACAGGAGGCCTAGGTGTGGATGGTATGTTGCGGCGTTTTTTCCCGACGGCCAAGGCTTGTGGCACGGACACTCAGTAATGTCTGCTCCCTTGAAGGGCAGGCGGCAAACTGGGCCGCGTTCCGAGATCACGGTTCATTGCGTTGTTATTGAAAAGAGTTCGGGGACCTTCACGTTCATGACCGACCAGAATTCTTTCCTGCTGGGGACAGGATTGGGCTCAGAGGCCCCCTGGAGCTTGGGTTAAGCATGTCAAGAATGCCGACCTCTGGATGCGTCTTCGCAGGGCTCTGGGGCAAGAACTTGGACGGGATGTGGCGTTGGTCTGGACCCCGTCACGCCAAGATGAGTAGCCTGAGCTCATCACTAACTCGTTCTTTGCGTGTGGCAATGTCGCAGCTGATTCTTGGGCTGGCCGCTGGGCTGATAAGAATTTGACTGCCGCAATTGAACCCGCCCCCATGCACGAATCATTCGGACGCCATCGCTGCTTTGGTTCGCAGCCGAGCGCGCGTCATCGTTCGTTCCATTGGCACTGAGAAGGTCCTGCAAGGAGATAGGACAGGAGTGGCTCGGCAGCCTCCAGAGTCCTCCCGACCCCTCTTTCAAGCCTCCTCCCACCATCTTGTAAAGTGTGAGGACCAGTGGCGCTGCTCGATCCGTGCTGTCGTGGCGGACGACCCCCGTCTTGAGGCGACGGCCCAGACGCGGCGCCTTGGCTCACCTGCCGCCCCTGGCCGCGGCGAGGGAGTGGGGGGGGCGGCTTGGGGAGGCGGTGGTGTCGGAGGCGGGGGAAGACCTCTGCGTGGCCAGCTGGCGCGCTCGTCTCACCGCGCCCCCGACACCCCCACAGCGGAAGGCACTGCTTTGCTCGGCGTGCGGGCCACGCGCCACCCACCAACTTGTTGATTGTTCGAGCCCTGCCCACCCGGAGAGCCCACGCCTGAGGACGCGGAGGTCACTTCGAGAGCGTCCAGATGTTCGCCTCCTTCCCGCAAGGGCCCGTCCAAGGCCATCCGTGAGGCCGAACACCTGGACGCAGCCCAACAGGCCGTGGCGCGGGCGGTGTCACGTGCCCGTTTTGCCAGTGCGCCCTGGGCCCCCGGACCTTGCATGAGGGTGTCCGGGGCCCCTTTGGACCCAAGTCTGCCCCGCTCCCCGCCTGAAGGAGCTGCGGGGCCTGGCTACACAGTGGAGTGGTGGACCCTCCACCAACCAGGTTCCCTCGTGTATGGCACGCCGTCTTGGCGCTCGTCATTCAATTGTGGCGCTTGTTCCGCAGTGGAAAGGAACGTTTTAGATTTACGAGGAGACGATTCTGGAAGCCTTACGGCCAGTGCCGCCCACCCTGAAGGCGGCACCTCCCCCAGGACCCCCGCTGGCCCGCCGGGGCCCCAGAGAGTGACATTCTGACATGGGACCGCCCCCCTCCACCACAGGCAGGACCTTCCCTGGAACCCCCGCTGGCGACCCCTTGGCCCCTCCCTTGTCCACAGGAGGGACCTCCCCCCGGGACTCGCCAGGAACCTGGGGGGGAGCGGCGATCTGACCCCGGACGCCCCCCCCGTACCCCCCCGCACCTTCCCCCCCCGTACACCCTCCCCCCGTCAGGGAGGGGAAAAAGGGAAGGGAATCGACTTGATTACGACGTTTATTTTCTCTGTCCGCAAATTTTTCTTTTGGGATTGGCGACGACGACGACGACGACGACGACGACGACGACGACGACGACGACAGCGTCTCACACACGCCGAAAGACCAGTAGATTTGGGACGGGAGGACGTAATGCAGCCTCGATGACGCGTCGTGAGGTTATTGTGGTCCTCTCTCCTCTTCTACGACTCACCCTCACCATCCTCCTCTCTCTTCCTCTCTTCTGTTCCCGTCTACACATTATGAGTAGTGCTCTCATCCCTCCCCTGACATTGAAACTCTTGTCTCACGCGACACTGCCCACAATCCTCATCATTGTCGTGTTCCTCCCTGCTCCTCCTACTCCACCCGATCCGTTTGGCCATCCTCAGTATACTTCTCTCGCCTCATTATGAATTTTATCCTCGCCGCCATCATCGCCATCACTAAACTGATCATACTCCTCGTCCTCCTCCTCATTATTCCTCATCTGCATTCGCGTCCTCCGTCACCATAAGAATACGAATCAGTACCACCATCATCATCATCATCATCATCATCATCATCATCATCATCATCATCATCATCATCATCCTTGTCTACACTTCCAGTGAAAGAGAACTGCTATACAATCCCCCTGCTGCTGTATTAGTTCCCCCCGCCAATCCCGCATACGTTCCTTTACACATAGGATTGCCTCGATGTGGTTTTCGATGTGGTTCTTGCCATCCGATCCTTGCAAGCTTTTCGAACTTGGTGTTCCTCCTGCAGCGGCGACCACCTTTGAGAATCGATGATTGGCCCCCGCCGTCCGGAACGGCTCTCTCGCCGCAGCGCGGGCCACATTCCTGGAACCGAGTCCTGCATCGTCGGTGCCGCCCCCTCCTTTCCTCTTCTCGTTCCAGCGTGCGTTGATACTTTCAGTTCCTCCTCTTCCCGTTCTTGTTGCATTGGGTCCCCTAACCATAATCATTTCTCGGCATACTTCTCTTCTTGCCTACCTGCCCCCATATCGTACTTGTCCTCTTGCTCAATGTACAAGCTGTCATTTCCCAGCGTTCATGCACGATGAGCCTGTTCAGGGGACCAAAATCCTCTAGGACACCCACGGGCAAAACATAATCCATCACAATCACAATGGGAAGGTGTGACGGTTAGGCTGTTGGATATGGCATGAGCGCACTTAGCTTAGTTTGCGTCTCTCCTCCTCCTCCTCCTCC